TGCGGTCATCCCATTGAAGACTCATACCACTTCTTCTTTGTTTGTAATAATTATGTGGACCAAAGAATGAAATTATACCGTGAATTGAATGAATTCATCCCGCTAGACCTGCAGTTACTATTACATTGTAGTAATAATTTATCTTTAGAAGACTAACATTAAAATATGTCAAAGCACCCCGCAATATATTTCAGACTCTAATAGATTTTGATATCTCTTTATTATTTAAATAGAAAAACGTAATAATAAAAAACAGATTGTATTTGTAAGTTAGAAATCCCAATGTATAAATCATTATTAGAGATGCACGTAGGCTCCCGGAAATACATATAGACACGGTTATAGTTGTTATCTGTTCATGGCAGGGACGTATAGTGAAGGGGAGTAGCAACTCCCTCTCTGCCTTACCAATTTTATGACACGTCAATCTAGACTTTCCTCCCCCTGATTCCGGAGCAGATAGCGAGCGCCACCTATCTCAATTTTGACAAAGCAAGATGGCGTCGATACCGCTTCGTTAGATGCAGAAGTTGGTGTGAAAACAAACCAATCTCGATAAGTGTTCTTACGTCTTTTGTTTATCCCATTGTTATAAGCTGATTGTATTACTTTTAATTGATAAAATCTGTGGTATCATAGTAATTGATGTCTCGTTTTTTGGGGTATATTTTTCTATTTTTAAACGCGATGTAACGCGTGGTTCAGAGTATTGTGGTGGGCGTCGACAGACAAAAATGCGGGATAAAAAAAACCCACATGTATGTGAACCACCTCACTCCAAAAGTATTTGACCGATCTTTTTCAAATTAGCAGCAATAGAAAGCTGAATAAATTTTAAAACGACCCAACCCATTTTAACTTGTGTTATTTTTATGTCAAAAAGTGTAAATATCAGCAATATTTTTCACTGGAACGTAAATCATGGCGAAAGTAGTTGGTAACTGCTCACTGTTTTGATTAATTTTATAAACTATCGTTTGTATTTTTTAAAACAATTAATATCAATAAACAGCCGAGTAATTTCTATGTTAAGTAGGCCTGATTTGATTTGCATTATTTGGAACGATAGCGATGTCACAGATGAAATTACTCGTCTGATAACGAAGGACACGTGTTGTTAAAAACCGTAAACAACCTGAAATGTTAAACGCAACAAACAAGTATCGCCTGCATTCGAGGATCAGCTCATTTAAAAAATACTTCTTTTTGAAATTTACAGCGATAGAAAGTTGAATAATTTTTTGATATGTAGTACTAATTTTTATGGCAAAAATCAAAACGCTGGTCTCTTCAAATGGTTGTTGCTTTATTATAACATCTTAAAATACCCTACAACAAAACAAAGACATGCGTTTATACTCTTGCATACTAAGTCAAGGGACACAACTCTCTCACATTACAGATAACGAGTTAGCACTTTTACATTTCTTACCAAATAAGAAATATAGAGAAATCTTTACATACAACTACATTTATATATTTTAACATTACTTATATATCACTGTTAAATACTTTGATCATATTGATACCATAAATTACAACACTGACCAAGGAGTACAAGTTAGTTTCCTTATTCATAAATATAGACTCTAGACTTCGTGAACTCATAAACTCACCCTACATATGGTGTAGAGGTATTATCTCAATCTGTCGTCTCACATCTAAATTTCACTCATGATTCTTAGTAAATAAAATACAAAACCTATTGAACACATTTGTCAATGATATAAATTTAAAATACTATTTGGCAACTTTGTAGACGTATTGATTCTACACTCAACAAATACTTATCCTTGAGAACAATAGCATTACATTATATTTAACTAGAAATATGTCAGAATGACATGAAAGTCACCCCATCATTTAGTCCGAATTATTCTGACGTTTTATCAACTTTTTTCATATCGGTCTGTCGTCGATTAATCGACGACAGACCGATATGAAAAAAGTTGATAAAACGTCAGAATAATTCGGACTACCCATCATTCTGTATGATCATTTTCCGATAAATCACTGACCAAGCTACAACGGATATATTTCCACCTGCCAATCAAAATAGCAAACAATTACCAGGTGTTCATACATACATGTTGTTCAGGTAGCCATGGCAACACAGGGAATTAATAGGAAAGCATGTAGCAAATATAACTTAAGCGTTGACCGACACCTCGAATACGGGGAGATCTGCGCGCTGACACGATCACGTGGCATGGGCAGAACAAGTAATTGGAATATAACGATGTTGTTTTCACAACAATAAGTTTCAGAAAAGATTCAATCTTATATACGGATAAATCTTCTACTATTTTTTGTTATGAAATACACTTTTCCAAGTAGTTTTCTGATCGTCTGCAAATCCGACTGATGTACTGTACGCTTAAAGGCAGTCACTCCGACGAGGACCGCCAACAGCCTAATTCGCAAGACATGAAGAACACCAAACAATTGTGATATCAGCAATTTTCCTTCGAAAAGAAAAGGTCGGAATGTATTTGACTGTTTTGAACCCGTTGATATTTAATTTTCAAACTCAAACTTTTATCATTATCGGTTCAATTCGCATGGTTGTCATCTTGTAAATTCCTGCCGGTTAATATTATCACGAAACTTCGACTCTTTGCGGTACACAAACTTGCTAACTTCGCCACTTTACCCGTGTCGTTTTGACACATTCCTACGGACAAGATTGAAGAGTTCAGCAAAGTTTTACTCAAGAACGACATTTAAACCACAGAGTAATAAATCCGATGCAATTCTTCGTTATGTTTCCCGATACGTGGTATTTATCAATTCACAACGTAACGTCCTGAAAAGTTGAGCCTACTTTACTCGAGTTTATTTATCCGATTCTATAGTATCATATGACTTAAGCTTGCAACTTTTCGTAATTGTTAAATTGGCAATGCAATCAGGGATTATTCAACGAAATTTGGCAGTTGTATTGCTGTTAGCATATATCAAAACATTTCCGAAAATCCTCGAAAAATTTACGAGAAATGGTCGCGACCAAGGACTAGTTTTGGATTGTTCTTGAGTATCGTGTACACCCCTTTCTTGACACTTCATTTTCCCCTCAAAAAAGTGCGCACTTTACGCAAATATTAACGGTAGTCGTTGGTCAGACATAAAATATCTAAATCAGTAAATAGCAATTTATAATACGACAGTTTACCCCTTCGGAAACCTCAAAGGTGCCCGATTCATACTCGGAACATCTTTAGGTTATATGTAATTCCCGTGGGGAATTTGGAACGCCTTTAGGTTTTATGGTATTCCTGTTTAAAAAGGAAATCTATATCTGAGTTATCCAAGAACTTGTAATTAGCGCCTGCTATATTCCGACAGAAGCAAGATACACAACAGCCCTCCTAACAGAGGTCAAAATCTGGGACTGAAACCAAAATTAATAGTCCCCACTGGGATTCCCCCAGGGGTGACTAAAAATATACATTTACTTCATAGTGTGGGAGGGTAGGTTGTTTACTTCTCACATTTGTATTACTTTGTTAAGTATAATTGTTGTTTATGATTTAGAGACAGGGCTCTGTTACTTTCTGTGTTATTCACCCTTATGTAGGGTAGGGCTTTTCGTTCAGTGTAGGATTCCTGGCGATCAGCTGCTACGATACCGGTGCTGAAATCTGTGTGTTTACACTTTTGAGACGGCCGGAAGTGGGTGATAGTAATAACAGGAATAGGTTCCCGCTCCTTGCTCACATGCTTTTAGATGATGAGGCTGGGTTCGAGATTAACAGTTGATCACTCATCTTCGAGGCTATTTGGTGGGGGGAGCAGGGGGTATAAAACAGCGGGTCCGGGCGGGGACCAGTGTCTTGACAGGGTCGGTGAGCCGACCCACTTCTCCTGGTGAGGAGAACATTACCGCCTCATGCGCTGTTAACAGTGCAAAACATGGGCCGAGGTGCTGCTAACAGTACCAATACCGTAGGACTACATGAAGTTATCGTTCCTGGGATATATAGAGTGCTATAGGAACTACAGTACATGTATTAAGGGATAGTCAGGGGCTTCGGGCTTAGACATCGATACATGGTGGTTCGCTGTAGATCTATAGGGAGCTAGGAGCACGTGGTCGTAGTCTACTGGTAGTACTGTTAGGTAGGATAGGTCATTACTCTACGTAGGGATTGGGTTTCTTAACATTAGTTGTCATTGTTTGGCACTAATGCTATGCTTTGTATTTGTTAAACTTGTTGTACATAATCATTCCGTCTTGTTAATAAACAGTTACTTGTATTTTATACCCATTGTTGAGTTATTGAATCAATGGCTGGTATTACCACTACATCCAGCGATCGAACCTGTAGTGAAAACAGGTCTGTAACCTGACGAAAGAGGCGAGGTCTAGAGAGGACTGCAGGGGAAGTTGTCGACTCGTTACAATTGCTAAAAACTATACGATCACGAAACGGATTTAACGGAGTGACAACGGATGCAAAACCCTCTCCGGACCTCCCCCTATTACAATAGCAATTAATTGTAAAACATTTATAAACCAAACAGTACATTACCTACAATTACTACAACGATAATGATATACTAATTACATAAACTTACCACCCAATCCCCAATTTCTACTCCTGATCAGAGACGTATTCCTGATATGATCCTTCCTTACCAAATGCAAATCTCTTCTGCGTAACAAAGAACTAAGTACCTACAATGTACATACAATCATATTGAACTTTCCCTCTCCAGATGGTATCCAGCCAATCAGATCGTCTAAGTCAGGTTATGTCAAAGGTCAAAGTATTATCAACACATGAATCTATATAACATATAGGTGAGTACAACTCACTGTGTCATTGATACTCATACAAACTATAAATACAAATAAAACACATTAATACATAATATCTGACACATGCCAGACAAAATTAAAATACATTATTAGATAAATACACACATTCTGACTCGTGTCAGTAAATATAATGACATAGTCAAAGCATGTCCTAATACATATGTAAAAGGATCGGTTTTTCACTTCAAAACCAACACCCAGGTTCGGTGATCTTGGGTCCGTCAGGGTCTTACAGTCTAATATGATTGAAGTTTGGCAAATAAACACAGACATCGAAATATAAAATTCAGGTAGTTTATTAATGACATGAAATATCTACGCACAGGGACATGCGTTTAGACCACACTGTCACGCACTTGAGCACACATACACCTCAATAACATGGCTTTATTTACAGGCGATACAATGCCTAACTGATTATATATACAGACGGCTACACGGCCATATGCCTATAAAATAGACGACGACATGGTTCAAACACGACTCTAAAACTCCTACAAAAATACTACATGGCTACAGAGAAACTACTGCTAGTACTGTGACTGGTAAACTATCTACGCTAACATTATCCTATTACGTTTTAGAGACCCTATACCTACAGCTACTCCTAAAGTAGAAAAGTGAGTCGAACCAGTCATGTCAAGACTAATATTCTCCCTCATTCCAATCGTCCGCATATAAAATAATTAATTTCAATTGATAACACAAACACATAAATGGGATTATAGCTCGTTGCTCATTCGAAAACCATAAAGGTGTGTGTGACTTTACGTACGATACGCATTTAAATATTTGAATTCTTAGATACTGATAATTGTGTGTTTAACCTATCCTTAATATATCCATCTTTTGCCACATCTGACTTCCAACGGCCATGGGCCTTCAACAGACGTGCAGAAACCGCTCGATTCTTCGACGCCTCGCTAACCCCCCCCCCCCCCCCGCTCCTTAAACTGTGTAAACCAAACTTCCTTTTATCTAAACCTATAGACGTTAAAGCGTCCAAAAGCAATTCTCGCGCCCTAGTATAAGACAAAGCCTTGTTAGGTTTACACAACTTATAGCTCTTAGATTTCTTACACAAGAACAACGCACGAAACACAAACGCGTCATGCCGGCCAGCTTTAAATACCTAGACATCCACAGTACTGGACAAGTTACCTCCCCTGTCCTAGCAATAACAATACTATTCCCCCTTCTGTAAATGTCAGTTTTGCTACGCTCAATGTCTATCTTCATGTAATCCTTAAACATATTTACATGCTTCACCTTCAATTGTGCTATCTCATTGTATCTAAGGAAACCTGCAAATCCTGTCAAAAACATGTTACACAATCTCAAGTTTGACAAATTGGAAATGTCCGATCCATATTTGTGAATTATTTTCTTAATAATATCCGAAGAAATTGGTTCTTTCTTTTGAATTTCCTTGCACACCATACGCCTGGCGCCTTCCATCAACATCACGATTAGTTTGTCCTCACACGGGTTACACAACAAGTTCACATCTTGATATCTTTTTATACTGTAATAATAGGCGTTTCCAACCGATTCAGACACATTCATTTGAACTTGAGCACCGATGAAGACTGCTACTGTAGAAATTGCGGCAGGTAAGAAAGTTAAATGCTTTGATACACACCAATTCTTGAAATTTTGAAATACGTGTCGTACTTGGTATTAGTATTGTCACTTCTGCCTTTCCGTATTATCGAGGGAATCTGTTCGACCGCCGCTCTGAATACCGGAACTCCCAACCTAATCCCATATCGCACACCTCTGCGAGCGGATTCATTATGGCCCTCTGTAATAAACAATCAGTATCTTTCAAGGTTTGTAACAAAACCTAACCTTTTATAAAATTAGTATGCGTAACCATTTTTCCCATACAGCATGGCTGTTAGTTAATTAACCAATTACATGACACTCAATACCAGCATGGCTGTATAAAACATTTGAAATGCGATTTTCAAAATCTACCACAGCGTTACCTATTTCAGTCACGTGACCGTTAACGGTTGTTGGTTGTTTTTTTTGTTTTTTTTGTAAAAATCATACCTGTACATTACAAAACACCTCGCCATCTTGTAAACATTGTAACGGTACATGGTACCTTGCGCATGCGCACATGGTGCGGGCTGCAGGTTTTTACCTATATTCCCATCAAGAAATGTATATTTTTGTCCGGGCACATGGTGCCTGACCTAGTTCTTTTGAAGAAATTTATTTTTAACGCAAGCACGTTACTCTCAAACTTTTCTTTTGCAAAAATACTATATACATCTGAACCCTTGACGAAAAATTGTGATAGTTTAACAAATTCTAAATGATCTTCTATGAAATCATGGAATCTGGACTTTTGTTCATTCCAAATAATCGGCCAATATATGGCCGACATCCACTTAGGAACAATTAGAATACCCTTTGCCTCACACAGCTGGCAATGCGTTAACACTCTCGGGATTAAACTCGGGGCGGAACAAGCCAATTCATGTCATCATGCCAATCATAGGCAAATGCGTCAACACCTTTTGTACATGGTACCCAATATTTTGAATAAAAATTGTCAATTTTCTTATTGTTAATATCAGCAAATCTGTCACAGGTACATGGCCCCCACTTATTGTTTAATACGGTGAAAACGTTGTCAGATACTGACCAATCATCGAAATCGAATAGTTTGCTGTACTTATCTGCCTCAACGTTCAATTCTCTAGGAATCTACTCAACCTCAATCTTAATGCCAAATTTCATGCATAACTTGTAAATGTTTAATGCAATAATTTGCAAAATTCCAGACATACTGCCTTTGTTTATGATCCTCACAACATTTTGATTATCAGTATACACTTTTACAAGTTTTCCTGCTAAAAGTTCTCCCAATGAAACTAGAACAATTTCCACAGTTCTTAATTCTCTCCAAGTAGAACTCTGTAACTTTTCCTTCTCATTCCACATTAAGTGTACTATGGACTCGAGAGAAAATAAAATCTCTAGGAATATATTTCGGAACCAACAATAAAGTGTGTGCCAATTTGAACTGGGAAAGTAAAAAGACAACAATAGACGCAATGCTTAAAAATTGGAAAAAAAGAAAACTAACACTGACCGGTAAAATCGTGGTCATAAATACTCTTGTTATCTCAAAAATAACAAATATAGCAAGTGTTACAAAATTATGAGAATGGGGGGTTAAAAACACGTGATATTATATCACATATAGATGTCATAAGGGTGGCATGGGTGAAACGATTAACAAACAAGGATGAAGCAAATTGGAAAATTATACCAAAAATGATGTACGGAAATTATGGGAAAAACATGTTAATATTTAAAATGAATTTTGAAAAAATTAAGCAAATTAAAGATCTAAGTAAAAATGTAACAAGTTTTTATGTAAACATATTGGAGTCATGGCTAAAGGTAGGTGGTACTGGTAGAAATAATAGAGATACCTTTTTTGAAGTAAGAAAAGAGGTCATATGGGGAAATAAAAATATTATGATCAACGAAAAAACATTAATCTTTAATAATTGGATCGATAGCAATATGATTTATGTTGAAGATGTAATTGACAAAAATGGTAGAATTAATGAAAAATACATTTATGACAAATTAGCAAACAAACAAAACTGGATGAGTGAAATGCTACAAGTTAAAATGGCCTTTCCAAAAAAATGGGCAGGAATTCTACAATCGCAAGAATCGATTAAAACCAAGGTTAATTTTAATAAAGAAAACTACAACGTTTATGATAAAAAAAACCGGAGTTAATCTTAACTTAGGGAAGTTAAAAAATAAAGATGTATATAGGTTGGCTACTCAACAAAAAAGTGTGATAAACATTAACAAAGTGCGATGGATAAATTATTTCGGTTTAGATGGATCAATAGAAATCAAACAGATGCTACAATTTGTTTTCAGTAAATTATTAGACAATAAGTATAAAGTATTCAAATGGAAATTATTTCATCATATAATACCAACTAGACAGATGTTAAACAGAATGACCATAGCTGACTCAGAGCTCTGTAACGTCTGTCAAGAGGTAGAAGATTTTGAACATTATTTTATCAACTGTAGATATCTTGACAATTATTGGAACAAAATGGATAAAGGTTTTCAAAACATAGGTATCTGTAAAAATATGAGACAGCTAAGGTATTTGATATTAGGATACAAAATACAAGAAAAAAATTACGATTGCACGAATATAATATTGTGTTTGATAGGTTTCGCGGTATTTAAGACCTACCATATAAGCGAACAAAAAACAAAGCAAATTAGCCCGATTAACATTTTTAAACGGGAGCTAGAACATGTTTGCAGATTTACGCACGTAGGTAGCAAACTGTTACATACATTTATGAAGGATTTATGACAGATTAGCCTACATGGATATACTTTACTAATGGAACTATCAGTAAGAAAGTGTTGTCATTTTCAATCATATGGTTTATTATGGTGACTAACGCAGCGTGTATAATATGGCTTGTAGTAAGGTGTACACATGTAAACACCTTGACCGCGGGGTCACGCGTGCAGACAGTTTACATCTGAAATGTGTACATGTAAACAACATAAATAACTTTGTTTGTTACTAATATGAAAGAAACTTTGTGTATCAATTACAATCATTATTCACTAGTGCAAGTATAAGCGAACAAAACTTACCCAATTCGGAATATTATAAATCCTGTCCAACACCTGAATAGTACACGCACATGGGTAGACACAACTATAAAACTAGAAAATAATCTGGACAAATTTTCCGGAATATATGTGTAACTCTTTTTATGTCACTTACATGTACACATACCTAGATCAAACACCTATACAATGTAAGTCATTACAAACTTTACGGATGTATGAAAGTGGACGAGTGGAATAAGTGGGGTTCTTTCAATCATAGGCATTAAAAGTGAATTATATACATACGGACTTGATTAGAAATTGTTAATCGAATACTATCATTAGATAAACAAAATGAGTCTTTACTTTTTTGTATTGTTAAAAATAATTGTAATAAAAAATAAAAAATAAACCAGTAATATACCGCGTGCATGTAGGTAATGGACGTCCCCATTCTTGTCCGGGTGCAAAGTAAAAGACTTTACAGGGACATGACGTAGACGGATACAGTGTTGGGGTGGCTGATACATGCATGCGCGGGGGCAACTTACAAACTTAATATAACTATAAAATATATATTTATATATAACACATGTATAAACATAGCTATTGAATGTAAGGTGTACGAATAGTGAAAGACCACCTGCGGGTGGACACTTTATTGTTCGGGGGGCTGATTCCAGGGCTCCTCAACTCTTGCAGCCTTCAACAACGACTGAATATTCGCATATGCATATGTCAAAGATCTATGAAAATGAGAATATCAAAATGCTGAGGAATTAAAATTTGTATAAAAAAAAAAAAAAAATGTACTATGTTTTTGTCTGACCCAAGCATAAAACCTGCCCCAGCGAAACCGCTTGCGTCTGTGAATAGAATACGTTCTGGTGTTGAGTAAATTTTTGAAACATGATTACATGGAATATCTTGTAAACTCTCTGACCAAAAAATTAATTCATTTTTCCACTCATTTGATATTGAAACTCGTGCGTCCCAGTTGTCCCTCTGACATATAAACATAGACAAATGTCTCGTCATCAGCTGACATATACTGCCTAACGCAGGTTTAAAAGATATGATCTTTCCTTCCACTGAAGCCACATTTCTAGCTGTTAAAATAAATTTCTTATTTTTGAAAGCGTCAACTTTCTTTAAAATAGAAACTAACTTTTTTCTTGGAACTTCCAAGCTTCCGTTTTCCAAATTCCACAAAAAACCTAACCATTCAATCTGTATTGTTGGATTGAACTGAGACTTCTCGAAATTTGGCAAAAATCCAGAATTCATAATAGATTCTTTTACGAACTTGGACATCTCTAAACACTCAGCTTTTTCAGCACACCACCATCCGTCGTCTAAATACACCACGATCGGAATTCCATGCATACGCCAATATTTCACAAGGACACGTACAACTTTGCAAAATATATGTCCGGCACTACTGAGGCCAAAGGGCAACACAGAAAACTGATAAAATACTACTTCATTTCCGTTTTTCCAAGAGAAACCAAGAAAATTTTGATGTTCTGTATGTATATCAATATGGTGATAACCACTTTTGAGATCGAATTTACACATATAATGACCTTGCTTTGCATAGTTTAGTGCTTCATGTACACCCTCAAATTTTACCTTCATTTTTTCAACATACTGATTTACATGCCTTAAATCTAATACCAGTCTCTTTTTTCCTGCACTGTTTATCGACACCGTTAATGGATTACTAACAAAAGGTTGTTTGACTTTCTTTATACAGCCTGCTTTTAACAATTCTATTATTGCTTCCGTCACGAAATCAGCGTTATTCAAAGCCGATCTGTTAATTTTCAAACTGTTTGAACATGGATCCCTTGCAAATGGAATTCTATATCCATCTTTGATTGTGTTTATAATAACACTTGGTGCTTTTAAAACATTTTCCCAAAATAAAACATGGTTTTTTAAACGTGATTTTACAGTACTAAGATTTTGTTCAAACTCATAATCTCTACCTTCAGTATACTCAACTTTCTCTGTCGTCACTTGTGTCGCTCCTCCGACGCTGTGTGCCCCATCACTTCTGTGCGAAGCTACTGCTGGCGGCGTTTTGCTGCACATTGTTGCCCCTCCCGCTGGCCGCTGCTGCTGATGACATGGGACAGTTCCTCGCGAAGTGACCAGGTTGTCTGCAGTAATAACAGAGCATGTCTCTGGCCCTGTAAGCATTTGTTCCCTGTTGCTGCCCATATGTTTGGCTAAAGTCACGAAAAAAGTCACCGGGATTGAATGCCCCCACCTGACCCGACTGCTGGCCACGCCCTGACAGTTTCCTTTCATAAGGCTTTCCTCGTGTCGCAGAAACTCGTTTTCTGACCGCTCTGCCCACGGCTGCACGCAGCTTAACTGCGTCATCATTGTCATCAGCCAAAGGGTCATCCATGTATTCGTGCACCGTGTCCCACCCATGGCGGTCAGCAATTTTTAACAATTTGTTCCGTTGTTTTAAAGCGACCCTTTCCTCCTTTACAATGTCTTTAGTTTGAGAAAAACTCAGTGCGTTTTCAATGCTGTCCAAACCGGCTAGTCTGTCCGTGTTAAACTGGAACTGAATTTTGTGTCCCTCGTGTTTGAATGTGTATTCACTTGTCACTGGCCTTTTCACGGACTCGGTTGTCGAGCGCGCACCTTGAACACTACTCAATATCTGTGTTTGTTTTTGTAGCACTCGCTGTAATGTAATACTGAATAGAGACACTGCGTCCTCGTTACTGATTATATTCTCCGCGGCATTTCCGTTATCATTGTCGTCGGACTGTAAGGCTATATCTTCCTCGCGTGTGTCATTGTTCGCCATTTCTATAATAAAGCCGTACATGGTACTGTGTTGAGCAACGAACTCGAAAGAGCGCACTAGCACGTGCACACACTATATAAACCCTACGTCACGTGACATCCTACCCGATGACAACGTCACCGTTAGCTCATGCATATGCATACCATTGAATTTAATTAAATTTATTCTGACTGCCGAAGCACACAGGTGTGCCGGCTTAAATAGGCAAAAACACGGCACTTTGCACGTGCAACAGTCGCGCAAAAATTACTCGGAACATTTCCGCGGTTGCTATAGAGTTCCGAACAGTATATCAACTTCCGGTATATCGATCATGATCGGTGACTAGGCCTGGTAAGCAGACAGACGTCAAATATAACTCTATATTTACATTTGGTGTGGCAAAGCCCTTCTATATTACTACTAACGTACTGCCAATAGCAGCTTCATCTTATGAGACTATAAATGAAGTTGGTCTTTGCAACTCCGAGCGACTTAACAGTGTCACCACCGAACTTATCGGTATCTTCTGCTTTGATCCCGAACACCAGCTGCCTGTCTCAAGTGTCTGTGTGATCAACAAACAATTGTATGCCTGGATTTTTCACGAATTCAACCTTCTCCGGTTGCACGATCAACATCAACAACATGCCGGACTTCAAATATAACTCTGACCTGATTACTGCAGACTTCCGTTGAGTGCGTGCGCCCGATATAGGTCGCAAAATGTTTTACGACACTTGATTAGTTACTTACAAAATGTTATTTGTTACTTTGTATGAATCGAGAATATGATATATATATAAATTAAAAACAAATGAATTATTAAAGAAAGTTGCGGAGTGATTTCAATTGTGTATGGGAAATAGCGCGTGACGTCAGCTGTTATCTTTGTGCCGTTCTAGATATTGACCTGACATGACGGTAATAAGCGGGAAATTTGAAATTTGGAAAAGACATAAATTATTTTTTGCGAATTCTCATTATGGAAACATAAATATAGCGCGCACCATGATAAGTTTGTCTGTGACACATGTGGCAGTTATACCAGTTGGTCTGCCACATCTATGCAGCTTATTGCTTAATTAAAGTTTACAAATTTCCTAAACTTTTACACATATTATAAAACAATAAAATATAAATAATACCCTGTTACATAATTTTCAGTTATGTAGTTGTATTGTTTGCTTACGCATAATAAAGTATTTTAAATAATTAGGGCCTATATACAATGTAAGGAACTATAGGGCTGTTACTTCATGATCAGTAAGGGCCGTTTTAACTGTACACCAAGTTCGGTAAGTCAAATAGCCTACAGAATCGTTCTCAAAACGATTAGTTTAATTTACATTTTTTTCTCAACTTTTACATATAAAATTATGAAAAATCGTGGCCAAAATCCTTTCAGATGATCATGATATAACGGTACATCCATTGAATTATGTGAGGATTGGATGTTTATCACACTGCTGACAGGACATTAAGTGTAACGTTAACAGTTAAATTATGTAGGAAACAGAAATGTCATGTGTGTCAACTGTCTTACCCTATTTAATACTAGCTTTAATTGTCTGTTACCAAAACTGGTGTGTTACTTCTTGTCTGACGACGCTTGTTGTCGGTGAAGACGTTTTATGACTACCGAGGTGCAATGCGCCATTATGTATTAGCGTTATTGGTAAAACGTTTGATTTATATGTCTACATTCGCGACGGTACGTGTGGCGCAGAAATTCGAACGCACTTGGACCATTCTATAAGCATAGCTATTGATACACAGTTTTGGAGAATAAAAACAATGTATCAAGAATAGCTAGTATATGCCCTTCTTTCACACGGCCACTGGATGATATAACGTATCTTAAAAACTACATGTGGCTTGACAACATGTGGCCTGACAAGAAATAACGCAAACTAGCAATAGTCAGCATTTTAGTTTCGGCCAGGTACGTCTGGACCATTCTATAAGGGATGTGTAGTGGAGGGATACGCAACTTCCTCTTTGCCTTAGTAAATATGTTCCGAGTGAGGTTGGCTTATCTCCCTTGATCGATGTTCTATGATACGAGCGCCCCCTAGCGGACAAGTTACGGCTTCATCAGAGCGTGGTTGAAGCGTGAAATTGGTGTGTAAACAAACCAATAATAATGAGTATAACTACATTTTTAGCTCACCTGCCCGAAGGGCAAGTGAGCTTATGTTATGGTGCGGCATCCGTTGTCCGTCCGTCCGTCGTCCGTCGTCCGTTGTCCGTCGTCCGTCGTCCGTCTGTCCGGCGTCAACTTTTTGCTTTAAACAACTTCTTCTCAATAACCAAAAGGCCCAGGGTACTGATATTGGGCCTGTAGCATGCTGGGATGAAGGGCTACCAAGTTTGTTCAAATGAATGACCTTGACCCACTTTCAAGGTCACTGGGGTCAGATGTCTTAAAATCTTCAAACAACTTCTTCTCAATAACCAAAATGCCCAGGGTACTGATATTGGGTCTGCAGCATGCTGGGATGAAGGGCTACCAAGTTTGTTCAAATGATTGACCTTGATCCACTTTCAACCTAATGTCCTTGTTCAACAATCAAGGTCAGAGGCGTTATATGTTTAAAAAAAAATATAGGTTCTTATGAAATCTTAAGATTACAAGTGTTAGATTAATAACAGGTGAGCGATGCAGGCCCATTGGGCCTCTTGTTTGTTTATCTTGTTGTTGTAGGTTGTTTATATTACATCTGGTGGAAGTAATAGATGGTGTCACAGGACCCGATGTATTGATTTATTGCCATATTTTTTTATTTTCTGTGACAGTGTTCAACGTCAACCGGATGTTGTTTTTTGAGATTCGAGATTTTGTTTTGCTAACCCAACAAAGTTGTGTTTCTAATTCCTCCTCAACGGAATGGTTTACATAAGAATGAAGTATATATATGGAAAGCTTAATTAATTTAATTTTATATGGGGGTAATCTTATGGCGGTGAGGTATTACTAATTTGTGTTATTTTTGTTTCAAAAAGAGCTAATGTTTGTATCACTTTGCGTCGGAAATGGCGTCATTTTCAGTGACCTGTTGTCATCTCGCTGTTTAGATCAAATTTTCTTCCAATAAATTCCACCATTTTTCAAACAACAGATATCAATAAAAAGATGAGTAATTTTTGTATTGTGTCCTCCGTCAGTATTTTTGATTTTATTAGTCAGGAACTGCCCACTATGTTACGAACTTTTTTGTAAACATTTGAAAATTTTGGGTGGAAAAAATTTCATTACCACCCATTTTGTGATTCAAATTTCTTCCAAAGTATCTAATCAAGCTTTTCAAAATTAACGGCAATGTAAAGCTTAATAAATTTTAGTTTGTAAGGGAATAGTCTTGTAGAGGGAGTTATTATTAATTTTTGTTATTTTTGTTTCGAAAGAGCTACTGAAATATGCTTGTATCACTTTGCATTTGTCATTTTCAGTAAAACCATGTTGGCTTCTCGCTGCTCAATTTCTCTTACAATAGGCTATTATTCCACCATTTTTCAAATGTGGAATATCAATAAATTAAAAAGATGAATAATTTTTGCAGGTGTTATTTGTGGTATGTCAGTGTTTTTGTTTTTATTGGTCTGGAAATTGACCACTACAGTACTGTGGCGGTACCCAATCTGGGACGGTACCCAATCCGGGACACTTGTGGGAAAGGGTCTAATGAAAATGGCACGTAATACAAACAAGTAGTTTTATTTTTGTATTTTTATATTTAATGATACTCTGAACTGTATGCCGACTTATTTGACTGCCGAATCTGCGCGATTACAGGAGTGTACAGTTTAAAATATTGAGTACTAGTCCACTACACATCCCTGTCAAAATCGTCGTCTGAAATGTCCGACTCACTATATTATGTAAACTCTCCAAGCAAGTGTTCTAAATCTATGTCATCATCCCAAGACAGAAAATCAGACGTTGACATGATGTGTGATTCATGATGAGACAATTTTAAAAGCGCTGAAGTATCCGATCGTGAAATGCTATGAACCCTGAGAGTCCAAACCAAAATATAGAACAAACTCAAGATACAGACGATAATATCTCCCGACACAACTACTGTACAGCTAGACATGGTGGCAACGATAACATTTCTCCTGTAATAAAATGAAGACCTACTAATACACAGCCCAGTAAACTTGGATAACCGCAATGAAAACACTTCGATCAGCGATGTGTTGACATGACACTGGAAGCAAGTGCGAGTAGATTTCATCATTATAAATTTATTCAAGTCCTCAAAGAGTTAATAGTGAAAAATATTGCACACAATACGTACCCGAATGTATGAACCTGAAACATTTTACAGTTTACTTGACCCCATTTTACTATCAGACTCGCCAACTTGTAAAGATTCTTCAGTTTTACCTATTGATAGAGCAGTAAGTGATCATGAAGATTCATTTATTGACTTTGAGCTTTACAGCTCATCAGTATGTACAC